TTTTTTTTTTTCTTTTCTTCTTCTTTCTTCTCTCCCGCTGTTTATTCCATTAGAGGGAAATGAGTCGTCCGCCAGATATGTATGCATCTCTACATTGTGCCGTTATACAAAAGAACAGAAAAAAAAAACAATTCGTCGTTCCGCTCTTAACTGCCAGAGATTAAATATCAAGAGGCATTCAAAAGGGAAGCAATGCAAATAAAGGAAAAAAAAAGGAAAGAAATATAAATAGAAAACAGAAAAGATGTAACCATATGCTAACATCTTTTTTATTTATTAATTTGTTTGTTTTTTTTATTTCTTTTTTGTCCCTTTCACTGTGTTTCTTCTTCATCTTGTTTTTTTTTTTGTTTTTGTTGTCGTTTTACAGTTTGTTTTTCGTTAATTCCTCTCAATTTGCTTTTTTTTATTATTTATTATTTTTATTTTTGGTTTCCTCTTCGTATCGATTGACCCCCTTTTTTTTTCTTTTGTTTTCCTTCCTTTGGGTTCTATTCTGATTATACTTTCTTTTTCTTATAATGTCTTTTATACGCAAAGGGAAAAGTACAATACAGAAAACGATAACAACTACAATAACTAGTCGTCAGCAATAACATATGTATATATATATATATATATATATATATATATATAGGGGAAAAAACAGAAAGAAGAAGAAGGAGAGAGAGAAATATATATACAACTACACTAGAATTCACCAATATTCCTCATCTTTTTTTTTTTTTTCTTGTTGTTTACATATCGTTTGCATTAATATGATACGTTGCGTAATTCCCTCCAATGTGATCACAACAAACACAATTCAATTCCGGTTTTCCTCTCTGCATAGTTGTAAAGCGGTAGAAGATATCATGCACCCGCTGCTTAAACGTCGGTGTTCGCTCCTCCTCATGATCCGATGCTGTTCCTGTGGTATGACTATTATTATTAGTACTAGTAGTATTATTATTATTATTATTATTATTGTTATTATAAGTAAATCCCTCTGGTTCATAATCTCCACGCGGTGAGTGCATTCCAAGTCGAGTGCCAAATGACAATCGACGAAATTTCTGCATGGCCGCAAATCGCCGGGCTCGCCAGGCTTTAATCGGCACATCCAATAATAACAACAACACCGGAAAGAAGAGAGATGCAAAGAAATGTACATGCGATGGATAAAAGGCCCGTGCAGTCACTCCATCCCGCGCGGTATCTACAATCACAAACAATACACTTAACGCCGTTGCGAGCACACTCGCAAAGACCCATCGAAATGATTTAAATAAATACATGGATCGTTTACCGTAACGCGTTTTAAAAGATAAATCCGGTGAGAGTGGTTGATGTCGACTCATATGCGTCCAACTGTGAATCATCAGCCAATAATTTAATGTGAGGGCAATATACCCACGCGTTGTGGTCATGCATGCGTCTGAGGCGTAAAGGGCGAGTTCCAACACCGGCCGCTCACACACCCGCACACCGCACGTAATCCCGAGAATTAATAACGCAATCAATGAGGGAAGATACCGCAGACACCAGACAACAGAACTATGACGGAAGATTGCCAATCGTACAAAGTAATTATGACGAGAGGAAATAGTTTTCATAGGATCCATATCTGCATAGGCAGTGTAGGTACAGGAAAGGGCAAGAATGGGAATAATCACATTTAACTCAAATACAGCAGAAGTGGGACTTATCAGTAATGGAGCTCCGGTTTCCAAGGCAACGAGATTCACCATCGTTACAAGAAAATTCGCATGCATGGCGAACTCTACACAATTTCCAATTCCACTTAATCGAAGTCGTGCCTGTCGAATGAGTGTTGTCACGATTGGGAGAATCGCCGGTGTGGGGGAGGCAGAAAGTGTACAGGAACACGCAATGAGTTCCGCCACATTGCGATATAAAGGGAGATCTCTATTAAGTGAAACACCACTATTACTATTACTACTACCACCAACCGTATTATTAGTATTATTAGTATTATTATTAAAAGTATTAATATGATGAAAGTCTGAAGGCTCTACCACACGACAATGACTCCGTAGTCGAGTTTCTTCCTTTTCTGCTGCAGTCCCACGACGAGTTGGTAACACACCAAAAGATAAATCCGATTGAATAAAACTTCGTACATTACCGTGATTAAAAACAGAACCAATAGAAACCACCACTTCATGATTATCCTGCAATATAGAAAGCATCGCACGTGTAGAAGCTCCATTGGCATGAGAAAACATATTTACTTGTAAAGGAATAGGGTCTACATGTAAAATATGTTTTCGTATAGATTTAATACCAACAGGAAGTTGTGCACGAATACTATACCGGTCAAGTGTAACCGCTCCTTCCTTTAAAGAAATACAACAATTCCAATCTGTCTCTAAACCAAGACGACTACCAAAACTCTTTGTTCGTCGCTCATTATCCGCACAAAAATACATACAACGAATACCAGCCTCTTCCAATACAGACATAGCCGTCTGTACATTAGGTCGAACAGAATCACGTAATCCTACAAGACCCAAAAATACATGAGAACTTCCAGTAAGAAAACTAAGAAGGCCATCAAGAGATGAAACACTACTATTACTATTAACATCATCTGTACTTTTATTATTTTCAAGATTATTAATAGGAGTAGACAATTTCTCTTTATCTTTTTCTTCTTTCTTTTCTTCTTCCCGTTGCTGCTGTTGTTGTTGTTGTTGTTGTTGTTGTTGTTGTATAATAGGATTATGATTCTCACTAGTTCTACTATAGATGCTATTTGTACCACTTTTATCGGTATTTGTCCCATCTTGTACAGTGTCGTTCCCAGTCACCTGAACACCATTACGAAAAAAGAATTCACTATAGCTAGATCCATTTAATGGTAATTGCTTTGCACAACTGTGATAACTATCGGGTAACATTTGATGAGAAAGTGCCACCGTTTCAAGTCCCATTCCTTCTTCCCATACCATCTTTCCAACATGCACAAGTTCTGCACGTGCTTCTACATCCAGTTCCTCAATAGAAGAACCGGTAAAGTGAAAAGGACAATTATGCGTAACGGTATATACAGTACCAACTGTAAAAGCATGAAATACACCACTTTCATCTTCTACAAGTAATGTACATGCCTGTTCTGGGTAATCATTACGGTATCCTGTTCGTATAGTGGTATTCACCTGAAAAATACGGGCAATAACACGAAATGTAGATGCCAGACTATCATCAAATCCACTAGCAAGTGGAATCCAATGTGTACTTCGAGCCCATCGTAATGTACGATCACAGAAACGAAAAGGTTCCATCCAAGTTTCAAGATTTGTGGGTTCTGGTGCCAATGCATGTAATAGTAAACATAATGAAACAGGATTCACATTTACTCTACGCTGCTGAAATTCTTTTTCATCGGCAAATTGTACAGCAAGATCTTCTCTTGGACTTGGATTAAGTTGTAATTCAAGAAAACGTCGTTCCTGAAATTTTTTACGTCGTACTTGTTTTTTAAGTTCACGTTTATGCTCTGAGGCGGCATCTCCATCAGGCATTCCACTAGTCATTCCAGCAGTTTCTCCAGAACCACCATCAACAACAAGATTACTATTATTATTATTATTATTAGTAGTAGTAGTAGTAGTAGTATTAGTTGTTGTATTAGCCATAGGAGTGAGAAAAGAAGGATTACCACCAGTAGAATTATTTACAATACCTTCATCATCTGAACTGGAAGAACTTTCTGGATCCTCATTTCTCTTTAGCATTAATAATCGTGTTGGGAGTGGTACCATATCGGTAACTACACCTGTGGTATCTAATAATGCCACAACTGTAGCCATTCCAAGTGATTCCACTATAGAAGATGAGAAACAAAGTGGATGACGACCAGGATGACGCCAGATTACACGTTGTAATGCCTGCAAAGTAGATAGAAATGAAAAACGTGGAATACGATCATCCAGTGAGTGTGATGGTTTAGATACAAGATGATGAAAAAGACGATCTAGGTAAATGTTTGCATACATAACGAGAACACGATTTAATAAAATAGCATTCACAGGCAACATACCAAGTAAGGCAACAGCGGGATAAAGAAAAACACCTTCTCCAATAGGGGCGGCCACACGAACATAAAAGAGAAAACCAGCCGCAATGGCTAGCATCATACCAAGTACCCATGCTAAGAGAAAAAGACGATGAACCAAAAACTCCATCTTTTGTGAAACTGAATTAGAGTTCGCCCCACTGAGATCAGTTCGTGGATCATGATCATGATCACTATCATCAGTTGTGTTTGCCTCTTCTTCTTCTTCTATTGAACCACGTGCAATGTGTAGATTAGGGAGTCGTGGGGGTCTCGCACGATCACGTAGAGGACGAAGTACAATGGCATCACTTTCTAATGTAATTCGCATAACATCCACTAATTTACACAGAAAAACAGGTTCTGTATATCGTCGGGCGACGAGTGTGACCTCATCCAATCGTAATGCTCCTTTTACTAATACACATTTAAGAACATACTTTAATCTTCCTGCGGTGAGAATATCTGCAGAAGCCGCTGCTACCATACGAAATGCTCTTGCTGGTAATACTGCCATACATTCACGAAATACCGCACGACGTTCACTTTGAGTTTGTCGCCGCATAGTAGACATAGCGTTAACACGATGTTGCCATCGTGTGAGTACTTTCTCCATAACATAAGCTGTGCGTACTTTCTTTTCCGTAATACGGGCCCACAATAAATATACCTGCATCGTTAAACATATAATATAAAGTACAAAAAAGAGTACCGTACATGTTATCGTCTGAACAGATGGATAAAGAACGCAGGACACAAGCAACATAATGAATGTAATCGCAACAGGAGCTCCTTGATGAAAAAATACAGCCGCAACAGCAATACGACCCACTTTCACAGACTCCCGCAAGTTTACTTGACTCGCATCTAATAACCATCGTAATTGTTGTGTGATTCGCTTTTCATACTCACTGCTTGGGACTGTGTTATCTATACCCGCATTCTCCTCCCCACCACCCTCCTCCTTCTCCTTCTCCTTCTCCTTCTCCTTCATCATCAACTTTTCTTCTTCCCGCCATTGCCGCAGCTGCGAGGGCGACGATTCTCTCTGTTCCCACCCAACAGGCACGTCGTCGCCCTCAATCACAACTTCAACAGCCTTCTTCTTTGGCATTTCGCCCAAACAACAGACAAGAGACGGAAGGGCGTGTGATGATCAGCCGCTCCTCTGAGCTCGCCGTGGACAGACAAGGCAGAGGCAGGCGCGTGGGAGAAGACCCACAGCACGCGAGAGATCAGTCCTATTTAAAGAGGGAAGTAAAAACACTTTTTAAAGTAAAGTTAAACAAAAAAAAAAGAAAAAGAAAAGAAAATAAAAAACTGCTTTGCAAATATAATAGGAAAAATAGAGGATATATTTAAAACAAGAAACAAAAAGAAGTTAAGAAAATCAATAGAAAAGAAAAGGAATATATATATATATATAATAAATAAAACATAAGAAGAAAACAAGAAATTTTTTTCTTTTCTTTCCTTCGAAGCCGTCTCCCTCTCACTCTCTTTATTTGCTTCTATCAGACTGCGTCGTCTTTACAGAAGAAAAAAAGAAACAAAAAAAAAAGAAAAACTTTCTCTATATGTGAAAGAGAAAAACAGAGACTTTCTCCCAATTTAACCCAATGTCATGCATACGCTTGGCGCAGTCGTTTCCGCAGCATTTCGTTAGACCCATCCCGCTGCGCCACCATTCGTTCCTCTGCATTTACGATAACTTCATTCTCAGTGAGTCCACGTGAATCTTTCACTGGTGCGAGAACAGAGAATAATATCTTTTTCACCCAAAGCGGTGATGGCATCCATTCATCATTATTATTATTCTTGTTATTCATATCTTCCTTCACAGCACTCTCAACAGGATCATAACTGTTATGATGAGAGCTACCAGTAGAAGAATTCTCAATATGATGAGGATTCTTCTTCTTACTACTATCCCTGTGAGTAGTAGGAGAATGGATATCAGTCGTTATTCTCTCCTCTGTAAATAGAGAATGTGCAACTTGTTGTAATTCCTCCGGAGTAAAATCTCGAAGGAGACGCTTCGCCGCACAAGACCATATTTCTTCTTGTAAAGATATCATGTGTTCTGTATATATAGTACTCTCTCTTTTTCCCCTCGTCATTTGATTACCACTAGAGTCATTATTACTATTATTATCATTGTTATTATTATTAGTAGAGAAAGCAACAGTAGAAGAAGAAGTAGTAATAATACTACTAACTGCTGACCTTAGACATTTCATCACTTCACATAAACGATTCGAAAGTAACATCCAACACGTCTCCACCACACTATTTGATGTAGACACTAATTCTGTTTTTACTTCTGGTAATCTCAACAATATATCTCGTGCTTGTTGTAATTTGGCTTCTATACTAATACTTCCCATTTCTATATATGCGGTATAAGATTGTAACTGATCTAGCGCAGCATCTAATGGTACCATACGCTCATCTATTATATAAAGTTCTCTTTTAATACAACTCTTATCCATAGAAGTGAGAGTACTTTTATTCATCTCTGCATCAAGACAGTACCACTTCTGTAGTAAAGAAAGTCTTTCCTGTACATATTTCTCTCTCACTTTTCCTAAAAGTTCTTGACGTTGTTGATATAACTCTGAAAAACGATTTAAAATCACTTTCATCTGTTCCTTCAGTTTTAATATTGATAATATAGATAATGAGAGAGTAGCATACACCGTTACACATTCTTGTATATCTCGAGCTCGTTGTAAACGTGCCCGTTCATGTGTATCTTCTGCTGATAATACTCTCTTTCCTAATCTTAACTGTTTCCTTGTGAGATCTATTTCCATCTCCAATTGTTGTATTTCTTTCATTAATAATTCCTCTTCTAATCGGGCATTATGTGCCCAATGATGACGTCTATTTAAGAGACGTTGTCGTTCCGCTCGTGCCATTAGTAGAGGTTCTAATTTTTTCTCTACTTCTTTTAATTCCATTCGTGTTTTCGATAATGCGGTAGAAACTTCTTGTTCTTCTGTATCCATGTTTGGTATTTGTATTAATAATAAAGATTCTATTCGCTTTTGTGTAAGTGTTAACTCCGTATGTGTAGTCGTATTCACTTCTCGCTGTTTTAAACCTTTCTCTACAAGTTCACGCAATTCCGCTACCACAGTGCGGGTATTATGGACGATAGTCTGCATTGCCGTATGTAATTTATCACGTTCCTCTAATATGGACCCTTCATCTGTTTTTGTTAATACAGATATATTATTACTATTATTATTATTATTATTATTATTATTATTATTATCAGTAGAAGAAGAAGAAGAAGAATAAGAAGTGAAAGAAATTCCTTCCTTTTCCTCCATTATTAATGCCTGTTTCGTTTTCATAATCCGTTGTTCCAATGAGGCATGAAAATCTGCAGATTCCTGAAGAAAATTTCGCTCATTTGAAAGTACCTCTTCTCTTAGTTGACTAATTTGTGTTCGAATAACATTATTATTATCACGTTGACGTTCAATACTCACTGCCTGTTGACGAAGTCTTTGCACAACATGTTCTAATCGTTTCAAACATGATTGTTTGACTTTTAGTCGTTGTTCCTGTTCCTCCATTTCTCTGTTAAACTGCAGGAGTTCCTCATGTTCACGCTGTAATTCCCGTTCACGTTGTAATTGCGCCTGTCGTGCTCTCTCCGCCTCCACGTGTTCTTCTAATGTTAACACCGGCTCTTCCCCATCGTAGTCCTCCGGCCGACGATATTGTGATTTCTTTGTGGATCGATTTACATAAAAGAGACGATTGGTTTTTGGATGACGTCTATAAGTCCATACACTAAAAGAATTTAAAGAAGCACTCTTTGGTGAAAGTAAACTACCACTATTTAATGGTGAAACAAAAGATGATCCACCACTTGAAAGTACTGGAGGGGAATTTAAAGAAAGTGCGAGAATATTTCGATCTCGAGAATCACGAATACTCGTTTCCTGTACATCACTCTCTGCAATGAGTTCACCTGTACAGGCACGGGCAATACCAATACGTAATTCCGACACGGCTGCCGCTACTGTACTACTATTACCTCCTCCTTCCACCTCAAAATACACCTTTGCGTGAGTCTCTGTAGCGAGAAGGGCAATATCACTTGGTTGAGGAATGTTTAAATTCGTATTATTATTATTGTTGTTCATATTTTGGAGCCTATCGTTTGTCATTCCCACAAGAATCACAGTTGGCGAAGGAGTTAAACTACGAAGCCAAGGAACCCATTCTGTCTTGAGATATTGCAAAGAATCTGAAGAAAAGGTGGAAAACACTAATACTACTGCAGCTGGTGTCCATTCCATAGCTCCTAATGTAGAAGGCGTAGAAGCCTTTTCTAATGTAACATGAATAGTCATATTCGGTAGTGAGGGATTTGCGAGTTCTAATCTCCGTCCTGCAGTTGAATTAGATCTTTTAATTGATTTCTGCTGTTCCTTCTCTCGCAGTGCTGCGGGAAGGGGAAACTCTAACAGAAGATCCATAAGAGCATCAATGCCAGAGGAGGTATCCCCGGCCACTAAACAGGTGTACTCCATCCCCTGTACACCCTGTGTGTATGAATGTATAAGAATGTGTAGATTAAACAGAAAAAGAGAGACATCAAGCGAGAATATAAAGAAGAATAGCGATAGAAAGCAAAGATGTAAATATACATATATATATATATATATATTTGGTTCATCTTACTAAACCACTAACAGCTCCTACGGCATCTGTATCCGGGAAAAAAAAGAAATACAAAAGAAAAAAAAAAACATTCCACCATAGAAATGAAAATTCCCAAGCCGTATTTTATCGAGAATGTTCATTAGAAGATATATATATATATATATATATTCTTTTATTTTCATCACGATACTATCCTGCTGCTTTTTCATACTGTTTTTGGTGCTGTTCCCAGTGATGGGGCTGCTGGAGATGAAGAGAAATTAGAGTGTTTCTTAATATTATTATCAATAATAAAACTAATCCATAAACCTGCACCGTACGCAAGAAGCATAAGCAGTATAACAACAGATAACCGGAATGAGTAACCAACTTTTTCAGAACCGCCTTTTGATTTTTTTTTAATTCCATTTCTACTATTATCGTTCATTTTACTATCTTCTGTTGTAATGGTCGTGTAATCCTTCTCCTTATCCCCAACTTTCTCTAATGTCTGTTTCATCCTTGTATTCTCACTATTAGGATGGTTACTACTCTTACTATTCCCTCTACTCCTCATAGTATGACTATTCTTATCTGTTATCGCCCCCATAGGTTGTATTAACTTCCCATCCTTCTGCTGTTGTCTATCGTTACTATTATTAGTATTCTTTTTCTTTTCATCCTCATCCTCATCTTCTCTATTCTTGCTATCTTTTCCCCTTTCAATGGAAGCGAAATCTCCTGTATTTCCACGTGGACTGGGAGTGTCCAGCCCCACCGCCGCGGGATCCAACACAGTGATCTGCGCTCCCACCGGCACGGGGAAATCACTGCTGAAGGAACACATCAAATCCCGCTTAAGTATAAGTGTTGGGGCCGCATCCCCGCCGAGTTCATTCCACAGTTCTTTCAGTTTCGACTCACTCATCCCTTGTGGTTTCCGCACAAGCCAACTGGAGGGAACTGTCTGCACAAATAATCGAAATCGGTCGTGTGTATTGGCCGGGAGATCCTTCACTTGCGGGCGGAGAATAAACCGCACACGTACGGCCTCTGCGGGGAAAACAACTCCAATATTCGGTTTTGTGTAATATCGCTCTGGTGTGAGGGCCTTAATTTTAAACACACACGGCAGTTTCCCAATGTTGGAGAGGAGCACAATATTCTGCACGGCCCTCTCACGATGGGGCGGGGGAAATAACAACTGCGTGGGCTCTACAAGTAATGATAATGAGGAGGAGGAAGATGATGTTTTGGAGCGGTGTGGTAGTCTATCGGTTCGACGTACTGTATGGGGAGGGGCAGACTCTGCGGGTCTTTTCATTTTTATTTTTATTTATATTTGTTTTCACTTATAATTGTTGGTTGTATGAATCTTTTATGTTTTTTTTTTTTTTTTTCGTGTTCTTTGACGCTGTCAAGATGAGTCAGTAATAAACATCAGATCCAAGTATGTATATATATGTTTTTTTAAAAACAGAAAAAAAGAGAGATAAGAAAGAATAATAAGAATAATAAACAATGAAAGAAATGGATGTGTATGCATATATATATAAATGAATGAAAACCCAAAATGTCAATGGTAACAGTCATAATAATAATGAGTAAAGGGGTCCAAATGCATGCAAAACCGCAAGCAAAGAAGATAATAACAATAATAGTAAAGAACATGCATGCATAGAGAGAAGAGGAAAACATCACAAATAAACAAACAAACAATAATAATAATAATAATAATAATAATAATAATAATAATAATAATAATAGTGGTTGGTACAGCGGAAGGTTCAACCACTCTCAAATAAAAATAAATAAAAAAATCCAATACACAAAAGAGAAAACAGCATACGGATAGCAAAAGTGTGCAAGAAACAAAAGAACTGTCAATCAAGAACAAACTCCCCCTTTCAAGTCTAAACAACAACAACAGCAACACACAAGTATCGGGTTCTACATCTCAAAAACAACAACAACAACAGCAACTACCAAAAAAAAAAGGAAAAACAAAAGCAAATAAAAAGAAAAAAGGGAACATAAAGGTGATAATATATATATATATATATATATATATCGCAATAAAGACCTCACCATGGTAATGATATGTCCCCTGTAACAACGTACATGCATATAGTATTATTATTCTTATTATTTTATTATTTATTATTATTTTCGATTCTTTCCCACCTTTCTTTCTTTTCTTTTTTTTTTCTGTTCTTCTTTCCTTTTCAACCCTTCTAAGACTCATTTCTCCCACGTGCGGTCTCTGACAGGTTGTGTAGTTTAAAAAAGTATTTCCGCACATTACAAACACCAACAGGAAAAGAAAGAAAGAAAAAAAAAGAAAAAAAGAGTTTTAAGCAGTCGACTTAAAATAAAAATAATAACAACCAAAAAAAAGAAATATATATATATATATATATATATATATATTCTTTTTTAGAAATGTGTAAAGTTAATACATAGAAACATATACATCTTGTAAGTACGAATGTGTTTTTTATGATTCTATTTCTCATGCATTTATCTATGCAGTAACTGTAAAGGAAGAAATATGGAAAAAAAAAGATAACGATGAACACGTATATATAGAGAACCCAGAAAAAGTAAAACAAAACAAGAACAATAACAATAATACCACCATTATCATTTTTTTCTTTTCTTCATTACCTTTACTATTCATCTTCTTCTTCTTCTTCTTCTTCTTCTTCTTCTGAGCTGGGTATCGCTCTCACGCGGTTCTATATTCCTGCATGACAAATTTAACCTTCTTTCATTTTCAAACAATATACCCATCATACATACAAAGACATCCGCAATGCATACACTAATTATATAAATATATATATAGTGTTTTTCTTTTTCTTTTTTATTATTATATTAGAAATCTAGTATACGTCTGTTGACTCCGTCAATCAGTACTTCTGGGCTCACTATCTCCACTCTTGTAGTATCGCACCAATCTATTTGGTCTGTATGTAGTTGTAGAGAATTTCTCCGATACAAACGGCTGCTCTGAGGGTTGTTCCTCTACATAATCCGGCCGTGGCTGCGGCACCAACGAAGGAGACTCACGCCGCTTTACACTACGCGTCACTACCGTTGTTGTGCTACTCCGCATTGTTGTTGTTGTGGTTATACCATCACTGTCCTGATGAATACGCGGCCTCGACCGCACAGTAGAGGCGACAGAGCGTGTATCCAAGTTGTGCAGTGGTGCTGCTGTTGTTGTTCCTGTGTGATTACTCAAGAGTGAGAGAGAAGCAGCGGAGGTTTCGAGTGTTGCTGGGCGCTTTACAGGCCGCCGAGATGAGGTCTCATCGCGTAGTGGATCATCAAACAACGCCACGTACGGTGTTGGACTCAGACTTGTGCGTTTAATGTTTGTTGCCGCCCGTCGTGAAGGATGTGTTGGCTTCGATGCGGTTTTCTTTCGAGTGGCGCTGGAAGTGCGGGAGGGCGCTGTTGTGGTGGAAGAAACGGCTGCGGTTGCGGTTGCGGTTCGGGAGACGTGTAGAGTAGAGTCCGTACTTTCTTTTCGCCGTACTCGCATGGCGGTAGTGCTGATGTTGGCTGCTGAGGATCTACGACTATTGGATGCGGCCCGACGTGAACTTGAGGGAATTGTCTTTTCTTTTTCTTTCACGTGTTCTTTTGGCTGAACCACAACCCGCGCACTCGATGGGTGTCGTGATTGCGGCACAGATGATGGACGATCGGGTGATAACAATTCTTTTTTATTTATTGTTGGATGTAATGCGTGTGCGTGTGTGTGTGCGTGTGCGTGTGATTGAGATCGGCCTCTTTCCGCCTGTACTCGCACCACTGCGGGTGGAGTTACACTTGTTGATGTTATGATTGTTGTTGATGTTGTTGGGATAATTGTAGGGCCTGTGGATGTTGGGATGATAGTAGATGTGATGGGTGTTGGTGTGGTGGTGGCTTTTTGGCTTCCCCGCGGTGTGCGGCTGCCGCTGCTGTTCGTTCCCTCACCGCCGTGATGGGCGGCCTCTTCTTTGCTGCGCCAAATTAATTCATCCGCGATGGTGCGTTCCAACTGTCGAATGCGATTTTCTTTCTGTTCCACCTCGCGGGTTCGTTGTTCTAATGCGGTGGATTTAACAGCCAGACGAGACTCCAACTCTTTTGTGTATTGTTTCATCATTCGCAATTCATCCTGTAGTTCTTTCACCATTTGCTCCAACGGCGATGGGTGTTCGCCGCTGATGGGGATATGCATATCCTCCCACGTATGATCTCCTCCAGCAGCAGCAGCAGGGGTATTTTTATTTACTACATTTCCTCCTTCAGCTCCTAGAGAGGCCAATCGCATATTCTCTGAACGAAGTACTTTTATTTCCTTTTCTAATGTTAATAAACGTTGTTCCGCATCAATGTTCTTTTTCTTTTCTTCTGCCAATTCTACTTGCAAAGCCAAATAACTACTTTCATGACGCATCATACTCGAATCTCGACCAGTATCTTCTCGACTGTTACTTTCATCTTTCATCAATGGATTCATTTCTCTAACAGGGGGTTCAGCAACATAAGTAGTAGTAGTAGTAGTAGTAGTAATATTAGTATTAGTAGTTGCAGTAGAAGTCACCACAGGTGTTACTTCCGAAGGAACAGATTTTCCCATTGAAGTACCGGTTTGTACATCTAGAACCGATACCAATGGTACAGGTGTGGCTGTGTTCTCCAGACTGTGTAGTCTTCGCACAGCCGTGTTATCCATCTCTTCTTCCTCTTCACTCTCTTCCGTTGACTTTCCTGCAAACGATTTCTCCTTCCGTTCCTGAGAGTGAGAACCATCATCGTAATTATTATTATTATTATTATTAGTATTGTTATTATTTTTTTTATGCGTTTTACTCTTGGTTGTTTTCTTACGCTTGTTGTTTTTCTCCACCGTTGCTTCTTCATTCATCTCTCTACTCGAACGGTCTGACTTTGTCAGACTTTGCTCGTTATTACTGCTGACCGACAGTCTTCGTCCAGTATCGTTGTTGGGTGTATCCTGCGAGAGTGGGGTGGTCTCCACATCACTCACGCGACTACGTGCCTCCATTCGCATATTTTGCCAAATAGATCGACGAGACATTTCAAGTTTGTATCTCTCTCTTTTTCGGTGTGTATGAATGTATGATTTGTATGAATAACTGTGCGTGTATGTATGTGTACGTGTATATATATATATATATATATATCAAATGAAATAGTGTAGAAAGAGAAAGAGTAATCTGTGAGTACCCTTTTTTCTTATCTATATAGCTGCTTCTGCTTCTTGTGTAGATGCGGATGTGACCACTTCTCCTTTACTAGTTTTGATTATTCCCTCTTACACTATCTACTGCTTAACGTTCAAAGAAGAATTGTGGTAACAGAGAGACACACCTTACTTTTAAAATATGTGAGAGGAACACAAAGAAAAATAAAAACAATTTAGTTGCAATATGAGATCAATAGAAAAAGAGAAACAGAAATGGGAACACTACAGTGAATTATCCAAGAGAAATTAAACTTTTTTTTTTTTTTCTTTTTCCCTAACAGAGACCCAAAAAATGAAATCTGGAATTGAGGAAGATAAAAAAAAGGAAAAGAAAGAGAAAACACCTTCATTTTTTTTTTTTATTATTAACATGTGAAGAGCTCGTTTTGGGTCATTAATAATAATAATAATAATAATAATAATAAAAAGAAACTAAAAGAGATACATACACGTTGATTGGTGCTATTTTTTTTTTCCTTTCGTATTTCAAGCGTTTTCGTTTTTTTTTTTTTTTTTTTCTTAACATTTTTTTTTTCCATTTTGACACTAATTTCGCACGATAACGAAAATAGAGAAACAGGGAAAGTTATTGGACTGTTGGTAAATCTATACAGTAAAACAGTTCAATAATGAAATACACAAATAGATAGATAGATGGATTTCATTTCATTTCATTGGTATAAATCCCACTTTCCAGAATTCATAACCTAAACTCTCCATGAATACCCATTTATTTTTCAGATCATACATATTCCTTCTTTTTTTTTTTTTGTTTTTTTCATTTCACTTTCCCTCTTATTCTCTCTCTCTCTCTATCTCTCTTTGTTTTTTTCTTTTTTCCCCACTTCTCATTCTTTTCTTTCCTTGTTCGTTTTCTTTTCCCTTTCCCAATATATATATATATATATATATATATATATATATATCCCCCAGTGAATGGACTATCCCGGGGCTTTACATCTTACTCACTGCGGGGCACTCGACGGAGTGGAGGACGATGTCGGCGTTCGGCTGCGTGGTGTCGACGAGATTTCCGTTCGTCGTGTCGCTGCCGGCCGCGCGCTTCATCGCCTCCGCCTCGCTGATCCCCCACGCCGCCATGTGCCGCCGACACAACCGCCGCGTGCAGATCTCCGCCGGGCACGCGAGGAAGATGGTGATGTCAAAGCAGCGATTCACCTCCGCCCACGCGGGGGTGCCGCGGTAGAGAAGATAATTCCCCTCCACAATGATGATGTTCGCCGTCGCGGGGATGCAGATGTCCCGCTCCACCGGGTCCCCCACCCCGTGGTCAAAGGAGGGCACGTAGACATCATCATAGAAGGGCGTTTTTCGGTTATTGCTGTTGTTATCGTAGTCGTTGTGTCTGTCGCCCTGCTGCGCGGCGGCGGCCACGGAGGCGGCGGAGGGAAGTCGAATCGCCTGCAGATCGTGACACAACTTGCGGGGATCAAACGTCCACTCGGCCCCGCGACGGCGCACCGCCTCTTCGCTGTTCGGCAGCGCGTGCAGAACTTTGCGGTAGAGATGATAGCCGTCCATTGGCATCACCACCACGGCCGCATCCATGCTGTTGGGGCTGTTCTTTAAAATGGATCGCACCTCCGCGGCGATAATTCGCGCGACTGTTGTCTTCCCGCTGCCCGGCCGGCCGGCGACGCCGATGATGAGACGATGTTGCGGGGCTCGTCGGTATTGGGCCGCAATCGCCGTCGCACAGCGGCGCAATTCCGCAGCGTCCACCACAGGGGGATGTCCAGACATTTTTGATGTACGTAAGTGTGTAAATGTATATATAAATAGCTCTCTCTCTCTCTCTCTCTCTCTCTATATATATATATATATATATATATATATAAAGGTGTAGGAAATAAAAAGAAAGAAAAATAGATTGATTAATTGTGAATGTGGGAATAAAGTAACAGTTATTGGTGGGGGGATACTCACAAAGACATCAGAAGGAATGTAAAAGATAATAATGGGGAAAAAAAGGAGAACCACAATAAATATTCACGTGCATATATATATATACGGTTAGGAGTGCGTTAGTGGTTATTTCTACTATACTCAGCAGAGAGAGCTACTCTTATTGGACTTTCATTTTTAGTTTTAATTCAACATACTTTTCTAATTTCCCCAGATCACCCGCTTATTGCTACATCCACAGTAGCAGAGAACATAATATAAGTACAGGCATACTTTTAAATTAAAGGCAGGCAATCGCTGCAACTTTGAGAAGAGAAAAGCAGAAAAAAAAGAAAAGGGCCACCGCAGCGGAAAGAAAAATAATAATACAAAAAAAAACGAGAATAGTATCAGGTAACAGTAATAAGAAAAAGGGGGAGAGAAAAAAAAAAAAAAACGAACGCATGGAGTAAACATAATAATAAAAAAAAGCTATCAACTAACAAACAAAAATATAGAAAAAAAGAAAATAGGAAAAGAAAGATGTATGAGACTATTTGGGGGGTATTTCATTACCATAACAAGAAAAAGAATAAGAAATAAATAAACCAATACATAAGAAGAGAACAAAGAATAGGTAATCTTAACTAATACCATCATCTTTGTTTATCTCTGTAGTCTCTATTCACTACATTTATCCTACACTTCATATATATATATATACACCTGTAGGTTAATCCTCTTTGAAGAGATTTTCTTCTTTGATGGTATTTTATCTCCTTTTACACTTCTTTTCACTACTCTTTGTTTTTGTTTTTTTGTAATTGAGACGATTTTTGATGCTACCTTTGATACTTTCCCATCACCAACACCAAATTTGTTTGTGTAAATATAAATAAACGATAAAAGAATTAAATACGAAAATAAAAAAGAAAAAAAAAAACATAAGTGTGTAAAGAAGGGGGGGGGATTATCATTTTCGTATTTTTTTTTTTTCGTTTTTGCTCCTTTATTGAATTTGTTTTTTTCCAGCGTTTCGCCACAGAAAAGAATCTGTAGAGAAAAGGAAAGAAAATAAAGAAATACATGAATGACCTCATTTCACTCTCTGGAAGAAACAAAAGAAGAAAAAAAAAAAAAGAGGCTTACATCGCCATTAATACTGTTATCCTTTTTTCTCTTGAAATTCTTTGCAAGAAGAAAAAAGAGAAAGAGAAACACCTCACAGGTAATCTGCGCATATATATAAATATATATATATATAAAGAGAGAGAAAAAAAAGAGAAAAAAAAAAATTCCCTCTATCTATATATAAATTTAATCTTTCTTTGATTCAAACGTTATTCATACATTTAGGAATCTAAAAGAAAGTTTTCCCATTTGTTGTTACTGTCGTTGTGTAAATAATAATAAAAAAAAATCACAGCTATTTCCACAACACAGATGAAAAGTAAGAGAAATAAGAAATAATTCAACGAATTTGAGGAAACGTAGAAAAAAAGAAAAAAAATTGAAAAAAGAGAAAAGTACTACTTAAAGGGAGGAGAATAATAGTCGCTGATAATAATAAGTTATGTATTTAAAAAGTTACACAGATTGAAAACTTAAAAAAAAAAAAAAAAACACTTTCTTTTTCTTTTGTTCTTTTTCTTTCGGTGTGTATACTAACAGGCAGCGGAATCTCTTACCTTAATTTACATTTCTTTTTTTCTTCTTTTTTACTCTTTTCTTTGTTTCCTTTCTTTTTCTTTTTGTCCTCACTTTTCATCCACTACATACGTCCATAGATTCCACTTGCCTGTTCGATCGCTTCTTTTTTTTTTTTTTTTTTAACCCTTTCTTCGTTTCGGGTCTTTTTTTTTTGTTGTTGTTGTTGTTGTTGTTGTTGTTGTTGATACTTGTAATTTACTGTTCCTTCACCTCAGTGAGACTCTCTTTCTCTTTTTCTTTCGTTTATATATATATATATATATATATATATAGATAGATATATATATACAAGTCTGTGTATGATTTATTTATTTTTTTTTCTCCCACAACTATTCCTCCAGTCTCATCATGTGTAGTGTTGATAACCTTAGAGAATATTCCCAGCTCCATTTGTGGGTTCTCTCTTATTCTCCTCCTCTCCGCCCTTCCCGCCGCTGTTGAGACTATTCTCCATTGCGTCTCTCACCCCCGCCCGCGCCGGCTTCTCCCCCAACAAAACAGCCGACGCCTCATCTCGTTGAATAGTATTAGTATTAGTATTATTATTATTATTATTATTATTATTATTATTATCCAAATCAACAATATGATTGGGATCACCTCCCTCTTCTTCTTCCTCTTCATCTGATTGCGCATATCGTCCCCGCTGTGGTCGCTGCGCTGGTGCCTCTCTCGGCAAGAGTGCCATTCCGCCCCGCACGAGACTCAGCGAGGCAATCGCGGCCATAAACATTACATACATCGCGGCCATCTGCTGCACGTTGTTGGCCCACACTTGTCGCTGCAGCAGCGCCGGTGTGATGGGCGTGCCGGGCGGCAATTTCGCGATTTCACTCGCCACGAGTGTTGCCGCCAGCGGCCCAACGGAGGCCTGCGCGGAGGCTTTGCCGGTGTAACCCGCGCAGACGAGCAATTTGGCCTTCCAGCCCATTCCAGAGCCGGTCTGTACAAGAAAGATCACCACCAATCGAACGGCAGTACTGCAGACAAGACAAATAATCGCTTTTGGGAAAAAGTCCCCGTTGAAGATGGCGGGAATACTGATTTTGGATCCCATGAGAGCAAAGAGAAATGGCATCATAGCATTATCCCACACAAAGGCTAACCAACTACCAATATATTTCTTCTGCTCCTCCAACTCGTGTTTACCGTCCTTAAGGCAGAAGTGTGTTACCGTGCTGGCAAAGAAAACACACATCGTACACCCACCTCCAGCCAAATTTACACTGTAACCAAGAAATACCATTGAAAAGGCAAGAAGTAAAAAGACGGCAGTAGCAAAGTCAAGAGTACTGTAGAAATGTTGTTTTTGATATTTTCCATTAGGTAATCGACGTGCCTCATGCTTTAATATCTCCACAAAGTAAAAGAAGAGGATACCAATGATAATACCAATAATAACTCCACCAATAAATTGTACAGGTCCAAGTACAATAGCAACAGCGAGTTTTTGATCATGAAATAATAATCCAATAATAAAGTTTGCCGCCCAAACACCTAACACAATTTCCACTCCAACAGCAGAAAGTAATAGTGAGAGTGGCCCAACTCCACGACCGTAACCCATCTCTTGTAAATATAATGTTCCTGGTACTACAACTGCCGGGGAAACAATAGAACAAACCATACCTTGAAGAAATGCCCATTGATAATTATTTTCATAGTGAAATATTTTATTGGCAATTAAACTATGAGCAACACCTTCAAACGCCAAAGGCATGGTTGCCAAAAGTACACTTTGTTTCCAATGTGGAAGAATACCTTTAATAGTTAAAGAAAAACCAGCACGAGCCATAATGACTGTTAAACCCATTTTAGATGAAATATCTTTAACCTGTAGAACTATACCTTTTGTTAAGTAATGTTCTTCTGGAATATTATTCCACATAATAGCAATCCACAAAACTCCCACAAGTGGTGGAATTTGCAATACTCGACAAATAATACCTCCTACAACAGCAGCAACAATAACCAACACCAGTGGATCCCAAACATAACCACCAGGTTCCATTAACCAATGCGGTAAAATATTCCACAGTGTAAACCATAACAAAACAAGTACGGCAATACGAAGAAATATATTCATAATGGGAAGATTTAAACAACGTCCACCCAAAGTTACTTTAAAACGACCATAAGCCCCACAGCGAACACCCCAGTGTCTCTCACCTTCTCCCACCTCCGTAATTTGTGGAAGAAACCAGTTACTCCCAGTATATGGTAAAAGTGAGTATACATCACGAGTGGCGACATTATCGGTTATTGCGGCGATATGTACAAGATCAGCTTCACTTAATTCATTGATTTCTCTTGCAAGATTGTGTAAGTGCTCCGGTACTCCTCTTAATATACTCATATTCGATGCCCCATGTTCTTGGACATCACGACTGGGTGATTCCACAATCCCGCCTTCACGTGGGGAAAGATCTGTGTGGACGGTTAACACCTCAGGCAGTTCATGCTCTTCACCTACAATTGGTACTTCATTCCCTGCATTTTCTGCATTTCCGTATGGGTGTGTCATTTCAAATATATATATATATATATATATATATATATTATTTGTTTTTACTTTTCTTTTCTCTACTTTTTTTTTCTTTTTAGTCTGCAGAGAAAGATTTTGTTACCGGCCAAATACACTTAGACCCCTTTGGTTGATTTCCTGGGATAAGCCTGTTTAATTTTATCTCCTTTCTTATTTTTTCTCTTATATTCCTCTTTCCACCGGAAAAGGGAATAAATATATATAAACAAATCTATACTTCTGTTCTCTTCTTTTTTTCTTTTTTTTTTTCTTACCTCCTTATATATATATATAGAAGAAGGCCCTATTAACTTGCTTGTATTACTACACTTATATATGTGCCGACACACCTAGACAATGTATATGTTTACTTCTTTTACTATCTCTATTCTCTCTGGTGTGTACGTTGACCCTCTTTTTCTTTTGTATACATTCAATAGAAAAAAAAAAAAAAAAAAAAAAAAAAAAAATAATAATAATAATAATAATAATAATAATAATAATAATAACAATAATAGTTATTTCTATTTTCTTTTCTTTATTTCTTTATTTCTCACTAGCACTTCCACTACTGTTATTTCCCACCCACCCCCATCCCCCGTTCCTACTAATACTACTCTCCCAAGATACCCAAAAGACTTAAATACATTCCCTGACTCTCATATTACTATATATATATATATATATATTTATACTTTTTAA